GCCAAAAAATAAAATAAGTAAACAAATTAACACTTTCCTGTGTAGTATCTTCAAAATATGGAAAATAAAAGCATCTAATGCATGTGTTGAATTTGTTATCAAACAAAACAAATTACACTAGATTTTCTAAATCATTACAGTAGTCCCTCCCTATTTCACGGTTCACCTTCTGTGGACTCACCATTTCACAGATTTTCAATAAAATATTAATCTAAACTATCTATTGTGAAACAACAACAACAACAAAAAAACAAATAGAGAAAACTAAATAAAAGAGCAGAATAGAATTAATAGGAATGAAGTTAAGAATTTATATATAATATGAGATTGTTGATTCTGGTGTTGTAATTTTTCCTCAAAGACTGGCTTTAACTTGTGAATATACACAAAATCTGTCAAAATGAACCTAAATGCACTTTCTAGGACACATACGTACCAACTGCACCTGCAAAGCTATTAGCTCTGAGGATGTATCTTATAACGACATCTTATTGCAAAGGACGCTCTTGTTATCTCCTCCTGACAGCCCAAATTAAACACAATGAAATGCATTCTAAACACATTCTCCAATTCTGCATTTGGGAACATCCATTTTATAATGCACTTGCTCGAGTCCAGAGAATACCCTCGACTGCACTCCAAGATTTTAACATTGAGGAATTAGACAGATAAGGATGCATGCAGTCTTGGGTAATGTCACTTCTTTCAATTAGCATAATGAGATGCAGGATCAGCCTTTCCATTCAATGGAACCAGCTTTTAACCCACACAACACACACAGACATCTCTGAGAGAGTTGTCATAATGATACACAAGACAAAATTCCCATTTAGAAAGTCTGTATATTGTCTTGTAAGAATGAAAAGTTTAAATATTTAATTATTTGCATATACAACTTTTACAAAACAGGTAAATGAAAAAAATGACAGAGAGATTCTGTTAAAGTTTAACATATGATTATTTGCTTAAGATGGTTGAAAATTGCACAGAATCATATGAAATGTTTTGTTATAGTTACAAAAATGGAAACATATTGTCCAATGAGATAGTCAATTACAATGTAGACAGGAGATCCTATTTTTATAAGCATATTAAACTTAAAATGAATGTGGATACCATAATAAATTTTATTGAGCAGATATCATCTACCATTTATGTTTATTAATCATAAGAGTATTTCCATACAATAAAAAAATTCCCAGATAGTGGTGAAAAAAAATGACAAGAAATGTTAAGTAGCATGTTTCCAATCAGATAACTTTTAAAGGGTGCAAACATTTCACCAGAGACTCAATGTCTTCAAGCTTTAATACTATATGCTGTCTTCAGAGAGTTTAAGAGCAAACCCATTAGAATTAGAAAGCTCTGGATTTGCATCTCAACTCCACCTTCCACTAGTTGGCTATATTTTTAACTTCTTTGTCTGTTAAACATTAGCACTTGGACCAATGCTAATCATATAATCTTATTGTAGGATTAAATAAGTCAGTGAAGTAGAGAACTAAGCCCTGTGTCCCAGTGCATATAAAATGCACGTAAACTGTGGTAGCCTGAAATTTGGGTGGTAAAAGATCCTGAAATGTTTTCTGATTACATCTCTGTCATCTAAAAGTTAAAAAAAATTACTTATTCAAAACCTAAAAAACACCCTAAATAAATGAATCGCTTCATTACATTGTCTTCATTACGAGGTATTGATAATGAGACCGTGGTCACCTCATGTTGGTGTTTGGTGAGCAGGCTCTGATCACATGTAAAGCAAGCTATTTTCTAAGCATGTCACATTTCTCCTTAACAAAATATCATGAGCAAAAGCAAAAGCAATGTAAGAGGCACTGTTGAAAGAGCTGACGCCAAAAAGTAGTCAGTTGCCACAATCTTAGGTGTGATGTGATACTGAAACAATTTGTTCCCAGAATTTAAGAGACTGAGGTTGAAAATTTAGCATTCCATGCAAACACCAGCAGTAAGGACATTATTACTTTTACATGTGGCATTAAATATGAAGTATATTCATAGATGGGAGACATCACTTGCGTTTCTTGGGAATATTGGGCACTGAATTAATCTTTAAACTACATTTGAATTTTATCACTTCTACTTAAAAAAAACTTCTAAGAGATGTAGAAGGTGCGGGGGGGGGGTTTGGGCAAAAGAAGAATCAAGATAGATTACACTCAGTGTCTAAGTTACTCTTCTGTCATTGCTGGGACAAATACCCAACACTCAAAATGAAGGAAGGAAAGGTTTATTTAGCTTACAGTTACTGGAGGTTTCAGTCCATACTCAGCTGGGTCCAACGCAGAGCAGCACATAGCAGAGGGCAACCTTTCATGGTGGCAGCAAAGAGCAAGAGCACAAGGGAGGGGTAGCAGCAGCTCAAGCAGCTAGCTTCTCTTCCCACCTTACATTGTAATACAAATTACCTGCCCTAGGGTAGGGGAAGTACTCACACCTATGGGTACTTCCCAGTACTTACCCACCTATGGGTAATCCCAGCAGTACTAAGACCCATAATCCCAGCCTTGCATCACACTTAATCGCAGTGGATCATGAGTTAACACAAACTGTAGAAGTCCTCACCCCATGACTGCATGAGGCTTTGGGGGGACAACTAGACACAAACCATAACACTCAGATATAAACTCTCCATTCAAGTGTGACCATTATGCATACCCAAATTGTACCACTAAAATTAATTTAAGAAATTAAAATAACATAAAACAACTTCTAAGAAATCTTGCAATGGTTGTATCCAGGTGAGAAGTCTATGTACATCAATCATTCTCTGATACAAATAGCAAAGTTACTGTTTGTAGTGAAATCCTTAAGAAGAAAGTAGAAGCTGCACATCTATTACCAAGGCCAAAGGAAGTTCCTCCACTCTTCGGACAATTTTCATTTCAGACAATGGGGTTCAGTCAAGAGATTACAGAAAATCATTTAAGCTCAGGGAGATTTTTTAAAGTCTAGATTTCAGATAGGTTTGTTATAAGGTTTTAACTGAAATGTTTGCTTAAACCAACTTAATAACTCAGTATTCTACTGAAATTTCATTTTGAAAATGAATGCTTGTTACATCAAATCAAGTGCATGATCTCTTGCTGTGAAATTATGTGGTCAAAACCACCACTGAGTCATGCCCTGTTTTCTTTTCCTTTTTCGAGAAACTGTGTTCAGCTTGTCATAGAGAAAAGAAGCCTCTATTACATATGTAGGTGGTCTAGGAAGCAAGGATGATTAAAAAAAAAAAAAAAACAAGTGAAGACCCTAACTGCATGCTATCTGTGATTTGTTCATCTTCAATGTGGATTACTCCATATTCTGGGGATATTTCTGTGAGGTAGAGAAAAGTGAGCACTTGTTCATTTTGTTGCTGGGCACACTAAAACAAGAACAACAAAAATATTTACCTCAGCACTGGCTTCATAGTTAAGGATGAAATTCAAGCTTCTAAGAGAATTCTAATAACAGCTTTTCACAGATGAACAAGTGTTTAGAGTCCTGTTTTCAAAGCTGCTCTTGTGAGAGAAAGCTCAGCGAATGAGAAGAGGTGTCAGATTGATTGGATTCACATTCTGAATCCCGCAGGGCTGGTGATGTAGCTCAGCAGTGGAGCACCTGGCTGGCCAGCACGAGGCCCTGAGTTTAATTCCTGGTTCAATAAAGAAAGAGCTATCTTGTGTCTATGGGTCCACTGCACAGCGAGAGTAAGACATATTCACTTAAAATATTATTATTAGGCTTAAATGAAATTCAAGTGAAAATATAGTTCACAGACCTAGTATTTTGATTTTATATTCTTTATCTGCAAATCGTAATTGTTAGTATGTAAATTACAGGAAGCTACACCAATCCATTCAGGAGTGAGGCCAAGGATCTGAGGTAGCCAGAAATGTGTACAGATAATATTAAGAGATCGTAGGAGGATTTTTAAAGGCTGTCATCTGTTTGAAATTATTTTCCCCAAACAAAACACTACAGTGTGGCCAGACAGAGCCAAAATAAACAAACTCAAGGGGTCTGTGAAAAACTCTTTTTGATAGAGAATAATGAAAGGACTGCTATCATTACAGGCAGAACATTTTGCCTTAGATAAGCAGGAGAAAAGAGCAAAAGAAGGAAATATTTCTTCTAGCAAAGGGCACTTATCAGTGTTGGTACTTGGTGTGAAACGTGAGCACAATTTGTAAACAGCAAGGCTGAGGCGTGATGAAAGTGCACATGTGGAGTGACGTCTAACGCTGAAGGGACACAGCTCAGCTACTTCTCAGAGCCCAACTCCCCACGTGGTACACACAGGAGTCGCCCTCACTGGCCCATCTTCTCCCCTCCTTGTCCCCCCAGTCACCACGGGCTTTCAGCCACACACATTCCTGATACACAAAACATTGTGAACCTTCTACATCACAGAACCTGTTGAATCCAGTCTTCCTGGTAAAGATCCAGGATTTATATAACCGCTTATCAGTCCCAATATTTGAATGCAGGATGACCAATAATGGCATCTTTCATTTTATAAGATAAAGCAATAGGAAATAGAAAAATGACAATTGTATTAAATTTATTCTATACAAGGATCAACCAATTGAAATGACAACTGCCCAAGTGACACTCTCAGTAGTGAGCAAGCAAACACATACCTGAATGGTGCTCAGGATAAACCACTGTGGGATTAAGGTCTGTATTCTAAATACCAACTTTAAATAGTTTGCGGGGGGGTGGACAGGGAGCTAGCTCAGTGGTCTAAGTGCCTGCCTGACAAATTCAAGGACCTGGGTTCTATCCCCAGTACTACATGTCATGCCAGCCCATGCTGAGCCAGCTACAGAAACCGGGTGCGATTGTGCATGCCTGTAATCCCAGGACTGAGAAAGCTGAAACAGGAGGATCACTATGGGTTTGAGCTGCATAGTAAGACCCTGTAAATAAAAGATTTAAAAAATAAATTTAAAAAGTCTTTGGTAGAGCATTCAGTGGTACCTACGTACCTCTTTCTCTAAATCATTTCTGTAAAACTATGCCTACAAATTATTTCTTTTGTTGAATCTTCACTGTCTTGATGTAGAATGTAAATGTGAGAAATATGTACCCACAAATACATGTTTTAGATGAATCGCTTACCTCAGAGTATTGTTTATTTCCAAATTCATTCCACCGTATATTAATGTATCATTGCATTCAGAAAGCATTTGAAAAATTTAAAAAAGTTTTTGCACGTACCGGCACCGTCCGTTTTGATTCTGCTGGATGGTACACTGGGCTCGCCTAGGCCCAGTGTGTTAGTTGCTAGCACGCGAAATTCATACTCCATCCATGGGATTAAATCCACTGCTCGTGCGGCCTCCATATTTCCCTCAATGATCGGAGGATCTAAATAAAGATTAAGTAGGTCGTATCAGTTGGCTAAATTCTTATTTTTGTAAGTCTCTATTTTCATTTTACTCTCGGAGAGAATGATGCCTATTACACTGACTTGAAATAAAAATAACAAGCAGGCTTGATAAACTGTTAGAAGCAAGAGGACGGCTATCAGTACACACTAAGTAGAGTAGATGTGCATACTGATGAGGCTTCCTAAAGGTGGGACCCGATAGACATTCTAGAATCACCTAGGACACACCCATCCCGGGAGAATTCAGGGCCACACCTGTGCTGCAGGTGGAACCCAGAAGGACTTCCCAAGGTGTGAGTACAGCCGGGACAAAGCCCCTCTGAGTGCTCCTACCATCTCCTGGGGGCAGCAAATGCTTTATAGCTGGTTATCTGTGTTTATATTTATGTCATTTGGAGCAGGGACCATAAATACAACTTACTCTTGCTCAGATTTCATGCTCCTTGGTAGTTCTGGGTGATTATAAATTATGGGTTGGGTATGGCTTAGCCTTGTGCATTTAACTGAGATATATAGAATAATAAAGAATATACACTCAAGACAAGGCTGCCCCTCACTTTGAATTCTGTCAAACATTTCCATGTTTTAAAAAATTAACATATACATACGCATGTAAATACCACACACTACTTACTTGGAAAATGTGTTCCTTTGGGCTTGTCTATACTCATTATGTTAAATTTAGGGAATTTTTACCTGCCAATGCAGACGATGAATATGCAGCTTTTAAAGAGGCTGCACACATTTCTAAAATGAATACACAGCACTTCAGAGTCGGCTTCTACTTGTGGACAAGTTCTGGTGTGGATCAGACTGCTTCTTGTCCCACCGTGCCAGGGGGGCTTATGCTTCTGGACATTAAATCTGCCACATGTTCTCTTATTTTATTATGGACTTGTTCTATAGAATTAAACATATATTGTTCTGACTTTCTGATTGAAAATTTGGCTTCATCTTCCTTTCTGTTTTCATCATGCCTCTGTATCTCTTAGCCCTTCCACCCTTCTCTCATATAAATTCAGAATCTGTTTCAGTTCGTAAGTTTGGGGACTCTTAATTAGGGAATCAGAAGAGAGCGTACAGGACATTTTGCATTGTGAAGAGCTTTGTTGGGATTAAAGGGAAAATAGAGCAGATTTTTTTTTTTTTTTTTTTAGAACTGGGGATTGAACTCAGACCCTTGCACTTGCCAGGGAAGCACTTATTCTACTGAGCCATCTCCCCGGCCCCAAAATAACATTTTGGGTTTTTTTTTTGTTGTTGTTTGTTTTTCAGAACTGGGGATTGAACTCAGACCCTTGCACTTGCCAAGGAAGCACTTATTCTACTGAGCCATCTCCTCAGCCCCAAAACAGAGCAGATTGTTAGGACATGGAGAAGCTTTTCTTCTCCACTGGACACTGTTTATGACTTAGAGCCATAAAAGAAAAGAATGCGTAGGGCATCAAACAATATCCCTACAGATATACTGATGTCAAAATTACAAGGCCCTTTTAATATCATATTATTTGGAAAGAGGCAGACCCTTTAAATTAGGCTGTAAACAAGGGTCTTTGGAAAAGATCATCCTGAGCTATCTGTGTGAGCGGTGAATCCAATGACAAGTGACCCTGAAGAAATAGAGACACTCATATGTGACTTGGTGACAGACAAGGGTTATCTGGAGCCACAAGAAGCCAGAAGAGACCAGGAATGGACAGTCCCGGGGGCCTCTGGAGAGGGTGCAGTCCTTCAGACACTTGACTTTGAAATTCTTGCGCTACGAGAGCACATTTCTGTTGTTTGTAGAAATTAGCTATGCCAGAGCTATGGAAAACAGCATGGAAACTTAAAGGAAGAAGCAGATAGAAATGTTACTTTTCAGTTAGTGATTATGGGAAAGGGGGGGATTGAGTGAATAAGCAGATGCTCAGGTGGGGCAGTCTGACCAACTCATCTGCTCCCAGGCAGCAAAACCTCCGCGCTGCTTGAGTCTTCAAGAATGGAAATGCTGGAAGTATTTCAAATGCCTCGTCTTGGCAAAGGTACAGAGCTGTCACGATGGCCAAGGCTACACTGGGGCTCTTCCAGGCAGGTGAGCAGCTAACAGGCCCCAGCAGGTGTATGTTGGCCAGAACAGGAAGAACCAGCTGGATGTGCAGTGGAGACTAATTTCAAGAGCATCTGAGGATTCAGTGTGAAAATACTCCCAAACACGTGGAAGATCGGTGATAGTTTCAGAGTGTTGAGAACTGTGCCTGGCCATGAAGAACATTTAGATCCACTGTAGGAGACTAAGCCAGGAAAAGTCAACTGGAGCCATTGTATGATAGGATTTGCATTCCAACTTCAGGTTTGTCTTTTGACTTTAGTGACTAAAGTGAGAAAAATGAAGAAATACAAGCAAATAGCCTTGGGGTTCCTGCTCAGATAAGGTGGACCCCAGTGGGAGGTCCCTGCTGGGGAGGCCGGGAATCTTCCGACATAGGGAATGGAAACTTAGCAGTAGCAGATGGACTCACAGACTGCACCTTCTGAATGATTACAGGAGCAATTTGAAAGCCCTAATTAAAATAATACTCCCTAGTGGAACCACCAGTGAATTAAAACGTGCTCATTTTTAAAAATGAAACTAAGTATAATCATTTTTGCCCACTTATGTTAACAACAGTCTTTATGATAATAAAAATATCAAAGGTAAGGGCCAGGGAGATGGCTCAGTAGAATAAATGCTTCCCTGGCAAGCTCAAGGGCCTGAGTTCAATCCCTGGTTCCGCAAAGGAAAAACAAAAATCAAAAGTAAACATGTGTTGGTAGATACCCTAGTACTGCTTCAATTAAAAACTATCCATGAAAGGCCAGCAAGATAGCTCAGCAGACTAAGCGCTTGCTTAGGCAAGCTCAGGGGCCAGAGTTTGATCCCTGGCACCACATGCTGTGCCAGCCACATCCCCTGGACATGCTCAGCCAGGAATAGAGTCTGGGTGTGGTGGTGCATGCCTGTAATCCCAGCACTAGGGAGGCTGAAAACAGGAGGATCACAAGTCTGAGCTGCATAGTGATACCCTGAGTCACACACACACACACACACACACACACACACACACACACACACAATCTACAAATAGAAACTATCTACGGGGGCCGGGGAGATGGCTCAGTAGAATAAGTGCTTGCCAGGCAAGCTCAAGAGCCTGAGTTCAATCCCCAATTCTCCCCCCGCCCCCCGCAGAAAAGGAAACTTTACAACATTTCAAAATAATGAATATAAACATAAATCTTTTAAAAATAAAAACACTACCTATGAATGTAGGAGAAATGACTCAGTAAAAATGACTAACGTGTAACATTTCTTTAAAAAAGAAAAACAGACAAGGACCAAACATTAAACGTAACTCTTCTTTCTGACTTGTTTTCAGTCCCCTGGGCTAGCTAGGACTTTCAACCTATACCATCTCACCAAGACAGAAGCTAAACAGCTTTTCCCCCAGCTACAATCTTGAGCCAAGAAGGCCACATAATCACTACAGCCAGAACTCTAAGTCGGGCTGCATCTCTACCAGGTCCACACTGAAAATATTTCCCCACCTCACCCTTGTGTGTTCATGTCTACCATTTGTGGACCCGGGCGTCCTTCTTCTAAATCCTACTCATCATTTCTCCTCCCTCACAGCCTAGGGCATCTATAGAAGGATGTTTTGCAAATAGAACAAAAAAATATTTGTAAAAAAAAAGAATGTAAAAGTCAAATACAAATAAAAATGTTATGTGTAATTGAAGTAGATGGTACTTCCATGCAAGTGGCTCTGCTGTGTGGAGAGCGATGGTCTTAGTGTCTCCCTCACTCCCAGTTGGAAAGTCCACAGTCAGAGAGGAGGAGAGCATGCCCGTGCTCTGGCCCAGCCCAGACACCCAGTGTCCTGCTCTGGAACAGGGGACAGCTCTCTTCTGTATCCTTCTAAGTCCTCTTTCATTCTTTTCAACTGAAACGACCCTTTCTGATTCCTCCTTTCCATTGCTATTGTGTATGCTTGGAACATGGCTTTGCCTCTGATGCATATTGCATATTTTTGTTTTTCTGATCTGTAAAAGTGGATTTATATCTCATGCCATTTCCTCCTATTTCTGCAGCCCTGAAAGGCACTGGTGGAGCTTTGCTTCTTTCTTATTTATTGATTTAGTCCAGTGACATCAGGAGTGCAGACCTGCTCCCAGCACAAGGGTGCTTTGCTCTGGAAGCAAATGTACATCCCAAGCCAAAAGGAGAAAAAGAATGGTTCAGAGAACAGGGTCTTTGTGTCCTCTCGCCTCAGCCAAGCTCCTTGTAAACTCAGAGTCAGAGAGCAAAATAACTTGTAAACAGAGGCAAATACTGAGAATGAGCACTTCGGGCAGGTCTCTAGTGTTGAATTTGTAGTTGGTTTAGTTCTGACTCAGGGGTACTTTCCAGAGACAAACTTACACTGAAAATAAGATTATGACTGTATGACGCCCGCCAGAGACATCTCTCTATAAACAAACTAAGGCATCATGTGTGTTAACTGGAAAGCTATTTAAACTATGATTTTACTTTTGAGCATCTATATATCTATCTGTCTGTCTATCTTCTTCTTCCTTGCTATCTGAAATCAAATTCGTTACTTTAGTACTTAATCTAATGACCACTAAGCCAGCAAATAGCTAGAAGCTCAGATCCACCCATCGATTTACGAAATTCTTGAGACCACAAGATTCAGGGTAAAGTGTCTCACTGTTTTGTGAAGAAAAGAGAAGCAAGCCTCCCAGGTATCCCAAGGCCTGTTGCCTGGAAACCATTCTTGCATGTTCGGCCTTCAGATTCCCCTAACTGGGTGTGTGAGTCACTCCTGAAACAGTGAGAATCACCTTAGGACTTAAATAAAAACGTTTCATGAATAATCCCAGCCAATGTAATCTCTCGTTTTCAATTTTTGGAAGGTACCTGAGTGGGTCTGTGGTATTTCCTTAAGGTCTAAATTTAATCACAGTTTGTAGGATCCTCCATCTCAATGTACATCCCAAATAACTGAACTACCTAGCAATAATTACCCACTCAGAGTGCTGACTGGCAGGTCAGAGTTGTGTTTGAGACTGGGAAGGGGCATTTCAAGGTTTCTCACTGGCTCTGAGACAACTACTCAGTTTTGTGTTCCAGGCCCTGGAGCTGCAACCCTCACAGCAAACACTTGGCAAGACCCAGGAAGGAGGCGAAGGCACGGCATAGCACCTGCCAGCAAGAGAGGCAAGCTGCGCCTGCAGCCCAGCCCGGGGATTCGCTGGTCCTTCTCAGAGGGAAACCTGAATGGAGGTGCAGAAACATTTGAAATGGGAATTTAAAATGTGATTTCAAGGAAAAAAGGGAAAGAAAGAAGGATGGAAGCAATAAAGAAATAAGGGACAGAAGGAGTAGTGGACGCAAACATCACCAGCAGCAGCAGCAGCAACAAACGAGCATGCAGGAGACACATTTCTGCGTCTCCCTGAAAGTAGGTTGGCAAAAGTCTGAAGTCTATTCTGGTTAAGTTCAGATATATCTGGTAAACACATGAGAAATGAATAGGTGTACACACCGTAACTGCTATTAGAAGCATTAAAATGTTACACTAGAAAAAGCATACTTAACCCAAAAGAAAGCAGCAAAGAAATACAGTAACAAAATAGTGAAACACTTGGAAGTAAAAATACAATGTCAGCTATAAATACAACAATATCAATAATATTAAATATTAATGGATTAAATAATTCAGTCAAAAGACAGAGATTACCAAACTGTTTGAAAATAAAAGCCAGCTAGCTCAGCGGACCAGAGCTCCTGCTTCAGCAGAACGCAGCGGCCAGGGTTCTGTCCCCAGCGGGCCGTGCTGGCCCCATTCTGGGGCGCGCTGAGATGGCGATTGAGACTGGGAGTGCTGGACCGTGCCTGTAATCCCAGCACTTGGGAGGCTGAAAACAGGAGAATCACTGTGAGTCCAATCTACGTAGGGAGACCCTGTACGCCCTGCAGACCCTGCCCTAAATTCATTTAAAAAAATAAAAAAATAAATAATAAACAAAATAAAACCCGGCTATAGTCTGTCTACAGAAAAAAAAAAAATGTTAGATTCAAAAACACAAATAAACTGAAAAATGAAGGAATGAAATAGGACAGCTATCATGCAGTCAGAGCAGACGGGAAGCAGAAGGCAGGAGAGACTGCCTGCCCATCAGAAGCTTCCACCTGGCCTCGGCGTGGTGGTGCGCGCCTGTAATCCCAGCATGTGGGAGGCTGTAAACAGGAGGATCACTACGAGTCCGACCTATGCAGTGAAGCCCTGCAGACCCTGCAGACCCTGCACTAAACACGTTTTTTTTAAAAAAAGCAGCATTCTGTCTAAAACACAGTTCCGCAGCATTCTCTCTTGCATCTCCTTTGTATGTGTGACCACGTGACTTATTGTACATTTTAATCGTTTGCTTACGGCCTTCATTTATATTGGAATGTAAACTCCTTGAAGAGGTCCTGTTTTATGTATTTCTCGGCTTTATTTATGGACTCTACATGAGGTCTTGGTGCATTTGGGTGCATCATAAACACCTAATCAATGAACTTCCTGGGATTGATACAGTTGTTGGGGACAGAATAGTTAATAAAAAACAGTCTTCACCCTTTGGAACCCATTTCTAGTGGATGTTTGAAAACGAGACACTTTTTGACGGAGCTATATAGAGAATAGACATAAAAAGTGGATGAAAATGATAGCAATTAGTATTCTGTTCTCAGATCCAAATCCAACGTTAGCCTTTCATCTATTTCATCTTGCTCTCCATTGTTTATGATCAGTGTCCACAGCCAGATTCCTGCTGTTAGCCACAGTTTCATCATCAGTGTGCCTCTCACTCTCTTTAGAAAAGTAGAAACTTCTCCTATTTTAAAAGTGTCAAACATCTAAAATGTTTTTAAAATTATTCTCTAAATTTCTAAGGAGGAATACCTTATTTATTCTAGTGTATTTATAAATACTTCTTATAACTGTAAGCACCATGTCATGCAAATATTTCACCTGTGTCTAATTCACTTGAACTTTATCCCCTTCGGTGGAGAATTACTTCATAGAGCCTAAATCTTTGCAATAGGGGTTAAGTTTCACTTCCTTTGGGAAGAAAAACTACCAAATACAAATAAATCTAAATTAAACACTTAGTGAGCAACACAACAAAATTCGACTATGTTAAGAAAAAGAAAAAAAAAAGGAGAGAGAGCAAGTTTGAGACAGATTGCTTTGGTTTTTTAGTTTTTGAAAGAAGGAAAAGTCTTATTGACCACTCATTCTTTATTTCATCTCTAGTGACAAATGGGAGAAGATATCTTGATTTCTTTATTGAGCTAAAAGAAATGGCAGCCTTGGGGGCCAGGGAGATAGTGCAGTTGCACAAGTACCTGCCTCGCAGGCGCGAGGTCCCGAGTTCAATCCCTGATACTGAAGAAAAATGGAAGAAAGAAAGAAACAAACAGCAGCCTCAAGTTTGTTTTAAAATATTATGTAACAATAGACATAAACAGCTATTTTACTAAAAGGATGTTCTATATTCTTTGAAGTTTCAGGTGAAGATATGCTCATGTATCATATTGTAGATTATTCATAATGAATACCGGTAATAGTCTCAGACAAGGGAAAGCACCACCTACTCTTATTTTCCTGATCCACTTATAGAAAATCTTAGGAAAAAGGTAGAAAGACCCAAACTTTTAAAAAACACTGTTGAGGAAATCCTAACCATGTGATTTTATCCACAAAGTGGTATAGGGACTAAGACCTTAAAGTTGACTATTCATGAATAAGGTGGCATTTTTACAATGTAGAACTACAGCACCTGTATAAATGGATGAGCTTCAACGTCACATGGAAGATCTTTTTGCTAGTGAAAGTTTTGCTAGCTGTTACAGACTTAAATAATCTACTTTCATCATAGCTTCAAAATGATTAAATGTTTAAGCTCCCTGTGGGTTTCTCATTAACAAAGAAATGGATGGAATACTAAAACAAAACATGTTAGAGAAAGCATTTCAAGTAGAAATTGAACTTCTAGAATTTTCATGTTTTACTGTTTTATTGAAAAGGTTCAGATGAAACTTTGGAACAGATTAATCATACGAAGAAACGCACCTGTTTTGGCATCTTTCCAGTCATCCGAAAGAATAGTTTTGGTTTGGATGGTGTATCTAGAGATCGGACTGTGATTGTCAGACCCGCGGCTCCACGTGAGGGCCACAGAGGTGGCTCTGATATCCTCGATTCTCAGACCACCCGGAGGGCCTGGGGGGCCTGGAATGAAAATTGGGGTGATGAATCTATGAGTTCCAACTAGTGAAGTAAGTACACATTAGAATACAAAAAGTCCTTGCAATTGATCCAAACAGCATTGTTATAGTATGATCAGTGTTATAGTATTTCTTTTAAATGTAGGGCATTAAAATAAATATGTTAGTTGCAGTGTTCACTGAAGTAAAGTATTTCATGTCTCTCTGGAGGCAGAAGATAAGTTAAAAAACCGTCATTAAAAAACTGGTGCTATCATTCAGGATGCACATGGTAATCTTTGACATATGATGACATTTGACATCAACAAGATGACATGGAAAAGGAAAGATTTGACACGGATGCCAGCATGGTGAAGTCTAACGAATGTCTGCTGAATGCCTGAATCAGATATAAGAGCACAATTTAGTCTAGATACGCTAATACTTGGTTACGTGTTTCCCTTTATCCAAAATAGAAGAACTACTTTCTTATAACCCTAAATGCTACAGTATTAACCCTAATGATAAAGTAGTAAGCTATTTCATTCAGAATAAAATCATTTTATGAATAAATCTGGGCAATAAAATTTCATGTGATTTGTGGCAATGAAAACAATATTGAAAGAAATGTTCTTAATTAAATAAAATATTGAAAACTATCAGCACGTCATGGAGCTCTGCCATGAATACTCTGAACCACGTTATATACTAGAACCTTGAGGCAGAAGAATTTAGAGTAGGCTTTCCTGAATGTTTCATAGCTCGGTGACATCGTTATTTACTTATGTCCTGAACTGAGGGTACTAAGCTAAGTAGCTTTTGGGCTTTGAGCTGCTTTCTGTCTTGGGAAAAGGTGAAGTGGACCAGCAATAAGTAAGTATGATGAAAATAGCAGACGCTATCCTGTTACACATTTCCATCTTGCATCATGTTTTCTTCTTTGAAAGATGAGGGCTGGGCCGTGGAAATAGCTCAGCAGAATAAGTGCCTCCCTGGCAAGCACAAGGTCGTGAGTTCAATCCCCGGTACCACGAAAAGAAAAAAGAAAGATGAGGGCAAAGAGTATCTGAAGTGACAAAGGGGCATCTAATGCTTACCCCGCTAAGGAAACTTTGTCATAAATAAAAGAAAGAAACTAAAAAATAAGGAAACATCATCGTGTGTCTTCTTTGCTCAGAAGGGAGACCATTCTCAACCCAACATATCCTTCAAATGTGACAATCCATCAGATTCAGCTAAGCAACACTTTCATTTTTACAACAATCAATGTAATACTGAAAATAAATAGTGTCCTGATTTTAGAATGGATGAGGTGATTAGCCTCGCTGACTGTTTCCCCACCATGTGGTCTTTGGTCTTTACAAAGGGATGGGCATAATCCCAAACCTTCACCGATTTCCTTATGGTTGGCCCAAGAAAGAAAAAAAATTGAAGGTTGACAAACATATCATTACTTACATAAAATAACACAGACACAACCCATTGATTATAGTAAATTTTATTATTGAGAAATATATCACACAGGCATATAATAAAGGTAAATAAACTTTCATGAATTTTTCACATAACAATATACTTACACTTACATGGTCACTCCTGTAATTATTTGATGTCAAATAATAGAAAACAGACACATAATGAATGCAGAACACATATGATATTTACAGAGAACACTATATTTTTCAAATGTAAAATCCAAAGTTGAAATACAGGGAACATCGTTGATCAGAACCAAGAGGCTCATCGCTTCTCATAAGACATCATTGCAGTAAAATGACTGAGTGGTGATTGCAGAAGATTAAAAGGCAAAATTAGAGATGTAAACTAAATTAAAGAATTTTTAGCTGAAAGTTAATCTCTTAAATTTTAGGCATTCCCACACTTTTTCTAAGCAAAAGGATATGGCATTTGAAAATGTTAAAGGGAATTTAAGAAACAATTATCATAGGTTAGTCTTTAACCACTAAATTATAAAATATTTCCCTGCTGTTATGCTTTGATATTCTTGGAGTTTCAAATGAACAATGTTTTCACAAAGACTATATTAGAGTTGCATATTTTGTTGGGACATTGCATGTATAATAATTTTACTCAGTTATGTATTTATTGAAAAGTAATATTATCCTGTAAAACATATACTTATATTATGACATATAATTATATTTGTCATTTTTCTTTAGATAGTATGTCTATTCTATAGTAGAATCAATATTTGATGATTATAACTTATATACAATTTATTACAATCAGATCCATATGTGCAAATCTTGTATTATCTTGCTAGTGCGAGAACCTGAGAGAGCAAATAAAATTAGAAAACTACAGTAGATACTGTGAAAGAGAAAAAATTTGTTCAGTGGGAAGGAAAAACTGGGATGAGGAAAAGGACAAAAGAAGGAAGGGAAAAAGACATGTTTATGTACATATGCAGGATGGTTTGGATAATTGTACTGCTAATTTCTGCTGGTCTTTTAAAAGGAGAAATTAATGCTTAAATTATTTTTCTTTTCATTCTTACTATTTTTCTCTTTTGAATTTCTTACAAATTTTGTCATTGTTTTGCTTTGTTTTTTCTTTAAACCAATCTTGTATGCTTATATCTAGTAACCTAAACCACTAATTTGAAAATAACATCATGCAACATAAGCAACCATTGTTAAATTCCTATTACTTTGTTCAGTGAAACTTTTTTATTGTTTCTAAAGCTGCTTTTTCTTTCTACTACCACTTTGTATTCTTTAAAGCAAATTTATTGCAATTACTATTCAGTTAGATAAACACCATGGTCACCTATAGCACAATCTTCATTCTCATACTTGGCTTTGAAATACGACATAACCACAAGGAGGTGAATTCGGAGGACCAGTGAAGAGGCAAGCAGGCAAGAATTGGAGAGTGAGAGAGCAAGCAAGAATCTGAGTTACAGGAAGGGTGGCTTTAATTTTTGTGCTCTGGTTTGTCTTGGTTAAATTTAACTAAGATTTTATTTTCTCATCTGTAAAATAGAAGTAATATAAATATCAATTATAACTAAAATGTAAATGGCATCCTTGTGAAATGCAATGCTACATCTGGTCATAGGAAGCCCTTAGTGAACTTTAATTACTAGAAGTATTAGTGTCACTATTCTGATAGGTGTTTGCTAGCTTTAGATACCTACTAGCACTTCTGAGTCATTGTCATCAATCTCTCACGAGTGTTCATTTACCATTTATCACTAAAAAGAAAGCCATGCCCTCAAAAGTAGTGTTTCTGAGTAAATGTGACAGAGTTAAAGAAAAGCCTGGAAAGGAAGGTGTCCTCAGGAATCAGGATGTGAGCCAACTAGACGGCAGTGCGGTGGAGACCAAGAAGGAAAGCAAAGTTCAACTTGGGCAGCTTGCAGTGTCGCCCAGAAGGAAGGCTGTCAAGAGTGGAGTCTGATGTTAGCTCCTGTGTTTTTTGGTTTTTTTTTTCTTTTTTGGGTGGGGCCAGTGTTTTTATTCAAAGTGGAGACATACATGCCATGATGGAAAGCAAAATAATGAAGCTATCTGTCCTTTAGTACAAAGAAAGGCATTTAGGAACCGACAACTGTTCTGACGCTGTCAGTGAAAAGATAGTATCTAATTCCAACCCTAAAAGTTCCTTTGCTGAAGCTTTCATCATCTTAGTAAATCCTTAAGAAACGAGCTAAAGCCAGGGAAAACAAAAGAAGATGAGCCTGTCCGGGAAGCTTATTTCATTGTTTCCCACCTAGTGCCTCTTCAGGATCGTCCCAGGTTGCTCTCTGCCACCCAGCTCAAGACTCACAAGAAGAGCATTACTATTATGCCACCAACTGCTCAGATACCAAGACCTCAGACATCTGACATGCTTTTAAATTTGCATGTATAGTAGATGGCAAACTGTTCCAATCTTCTATTTTTTTCTTTAATTTTAATTACTAAGAATTTCAGGTGGGGAGAATGCAAGGAGCCCAAACATTTCTAAGTAGTCTTGGCCAGTCATTCTCTGAATGCTTTTTATCACCGTTAAACAACCAGGGAGCTAGAAAGACAAGAAAATGAGGAGGAAAAGAGATGGTGACATGGAGGAGGGAAGAAAAAGTTATTGAAGGCATGCTTTTCTTTTCTTTCATGTATACAGCTTCATCTTCATCTCTTACTACCAGCTCCTCCAACCTCATCTCCTAGAGTTTCAAAATATATTTTATATACTCATGTATCACATGGTGTTGTTTCCTGTTCCGTGGACATGCTGCCTAAGTGTCATGAGTGGACAACACTAATAGGGCCAGGTCTGTACAGCTGCTGAGTTCCTCTCTTAGAAAAGTAACACAGAAAGTTCACTGGGATTTTTTTTTCTTGCATCTTCTTTTTCTATTCAAAATCACAGTGTTTTTTGTTTGTTTGTTTGTTGGTTGGTTGGTTTTTTTTTCTTTGTGGCTGGCTCAGCCCACCCTGGGGGCAGGACTGGCACAGCATGTGGGACCTGAAATTGACCAAGGTCACTGCGCACTTGCTTAGCACTTTAGACTGCTGAGCTATTTCACTGCCCCTCGAAATCCCAGTGTTCTTTGGCTGCCTTTCTTTGGCCTATCTTTTGGATTTCCTGGGCAGAGGCTGTCATATGAACTATATTTCCTTTTCTAAATTGATTGCCTATCTCTTACAGTTGTTGCTTTCCACACATATATTGTTTCTGTCTGCCTTTACATTTGCCTCTCAAGGACAGCTGATTAAAAATGTTCCATAAAACCTGTCCTACAGGGGCTAAAGGATGGATGGACAAAGTCCGTGATAGTGCTGTTTCTACACTGTGGACCTTCCAGGGTAGCTAAGAGGTGTCTATAGCAATTGCTGAGACAAGTTCAAGTCAGAGCTTTTAAAACCTACATAATATCTGTTAATAAAGATCATCGTATCACTCACTTGTAAATTCTTTCTCACTACATCTCTAGCTTTTTCCCTACAGACCAGATACTGAACCCACAGCCTTTGCACCAAGCCACACCCCTTTTAAATTATTCTTCTTGATCACAAG